TTTATTTTATTTTATTTTATTTTATTTTATTTTATTTTATTTTATTTATGAGAGACAGAGTACAAGTGAGGGAGGGGCAGAGAGAGAAGGAGACACAGAATCCAAAGCATGCTGCAGGCTCAGAGCTGTCAGCACAGACCCCTACGCAGGGCTGGAACCCACAAACCGTGAGCCAAAGTCAGATGCTCAACCGACTGAGCCATCCAGGTGCCCCTAGAGCACTAATTTGTAAAGAAATGTGGTAGGCTACCATTGTTGTTAGTCTCTTTTATAAATTTAGAGATTATATATTTTAGAAATTGAAAAAAGTTATAAGTATATAGACAGTTGTAGAATATACAACTTGTAGAATACAGTTGTAGAATAATTCTTAAACTTTTTAGTCTCAGGATTCCTGTATATTCCTAAAAATTACTGAGCTTTCTTCTAAGTGTAGGTTACATCTATTGATATTTACCGTATTTGAATTTAAAGCTGAGAAATGTTTAAAGTAATTCATTCAAATTAATAGACCTGTATGTGTTAGCATAAATATGATATTTTTATGAAAAATTTATTTTTTAAAGCAAAGTATCTGGGGAGAAGAATAACAATATTTAATTTTTTTCCCATCTCTTTAATATTTGCCTTTATAAGAGACAGCTATTTCTCCTATCTCCTTCTGCATTCGATTTGTTGCCATATGTTGTTTTGGTGGAACTATATGAAGAAAATTTAGGAACAGTATTTTCATAGCTTTTTCAGATAATTATGAATATTCAGTACCATACCAAAACTTGACAAGTAGTGGTTCTTAAAGCTCAGTTCGAATGTGGAAATCCAACAATTCAATTTCAAGTCTGAATAACCATTGTATGTTGATCAATCTTTCTTTCAGGAAAAATGGTGTTTTCAATTCAGTCACAAGTACTTTTCCTTGAAACAACCATGGTACCTCAAAGTATGTAGCAGAAGTACTTTTTGTGCATTTCTCATTTTACTGCACAGACTATTTAAAATGTATATTCAGGATCAAGGTTTAGTAAACTAGTAAACTGGCTTTTTTTTTTTTTTTTTTTTTTAATACATGAAACTGGCTTTGGGAGGGGTCAGTGGTGTTTGGTAGTGAAGAATACAGTGACTACTAGTAGAGTTGATGCTGTTGCCTTGATTAATCTCAGGACATCAACCCACCATTGCTTTGCACTGTTAGTGCAAATGTCAGTATAATGAAAAAGGGAAATAAGCCCTTGATGTCATTATGAACATTGTTAAAATCTTGTTCTGGGTGAAATTACATTTGGAAAACCCACTCATGCTTTCTATTCTTTCTTTCTATTCTTTCTATTTCTATTTCTTTCATGCTTTCTATTTCTTTTCCAGAGAATTAAGTATTGAGAATTGGATTATGCCTGCGGTTTATGCTGGCCATTTTTCTCATGTTCTATGGCTTCATCCCATGTGGGCTCAGCAAATCAGAGAGGGAAAACATCACTTTTTAGTAGGCAGAGACACTTCTACCACAACCATCAGGTAATTTCATCATATTTGTGAGTGTGAAAGGGAATGAGTTCTTCTTTTATCTTACTTTGAATCCCCATAATAACTTGTAAGTTCTCTACATACAGATAGGGTCAGATTAAGCCTCAACTATTTAAATAGTTCTCAAAACACCAGGAACCAAGCTTTCATATCTCTGGACCTTCTTCACATATCATTTATATTTTGTTGCTAGTCAAGTTGGTTTTGAATAATATGGTCTCCATCTTCTGGAATTCCGGCTCCATTGATGACTAATTCCATTAAATCAGTGAAATACCTTATAGATATATATATTTAATGATTTATATATTTAAGGAAATGCCATTTCCTTACAATATAACTATTGTCCACTGAATTTAACAGTTAGCACTGGAAAAGCAAAATTATCTCATTTTGGGTTTTTGGGTTTTTTTGTTTTTTTTGTTTTTTTTTTTTGTAAATCCAATAGCTAAAAAGTAGATTTGGAGTTTTCATTTTAGTACTATGACTAGCTTTAGGTAATTAACCTAAATTAAATTACAGCATTCTCTGACTTGAGTTACATGTGCAACTATTTTTGTTGTGTAAGCAGTTTAACCAATGTTTTATGTGTATTGCAATACTGTAATTATCTTTATAAATATCAACATGTTCTTGACTTTTAACATTCTCTTGTGATGAAATGAATGTGAAGGGTCCTTTATTAAAGAAGAATGCAAATTTAGTTTGGAGGATACAGGCTTTGTCTTAGGATGGCATAATTTATAAGAAGCCTGGATATTAGCTTTATTATGTCATTAATCTTATTTTGGAAAATTAATACCTTTTTAAATTTAATGCTGTATAACTGGAGGAGGGGGAGTAGAAAATAAATATGACCTTTATTTTAGTTGGATAGAGCCTGCCTCTGGAAGAAGAATTTAGTTTTGCTTTTCAAAGTATTTACTAAGGCATAAAATAGTGAAAAGCTAAGAACTTACTGAGTAGAAATCTGTAACTTGTAAAATGCATTCTGCATATGTATAACATTTTTAAGTTGCTTTTCATATTAAAATATGTTCATATAAAATTTGACAAAGCTTTGAAACACATCAGAGGAAGTTTCTGTTAAGCGAAATTATTTCCAGATACAATTTTTCTCATAAGTGATTATTTGGTTAAAGTTTCAGCTGATATGAGCTCCAAAACACTAGCTTAAAGGGGCCCCTTGGTGGCTCATTTGGTTAAGCATCTGACTTCGGCTCAGGTCATGATCTCACAGTTCATGAGTTCAAGCCCTGCGTCAGATTCTACTGATAGCTCAGAGCCTGGAGCCTGCTTTAGATTCTGTGTCTCTTTCTCTCTGTGCCCCTTCCTCGCTCACGCTCTCTCTCTCTCTTCTCTCTCAAAAATAAATATTTTTTTTAAGTTAAAAAAAAACACACACTAGGTTAATTAAAGAAGATCATTTATTTCTTTCTCATATTAGAGTTTACCACATGCAGCCCAGGGCCTTTGTGGCAGTTTACCAGTTCAGCAACTCCCGTTCCTTTTACCTTTTTGCTTCATCTCTACAGTATTGCCTTTGTCCTCATAGTCCAAGCTGGGCTTGCCACTTCCATGTTCATATGCCAGTCAGTGAGGAAAGGAGAGCAAGGTTTTATACACTTCTTTTCCATTCACAGCCTTAGGCCAGAACTTAGTCAATTGGCCACACCTGGCTACAAGGTAGATTATGAAATCTTTACTTAACAGTCTTTACTTTGGGCAGTTGTGTGCCCAGCTAAAAATTTGGGGAATGCTATTTCTGCAGAAGAACAGGAATTACAAAAAGTAGGGATAGCTCTTAGCTTTTGTTAAATATGTTCTTTGTTACGTTTCTGAGTGCTTTGGAAATACTATATGAAATGTCAGCAAAGTTGTCCATTTTTCTTTAAAATAGTTTTTTCCTCTAATGCAGGGTTACAAGTACAGATCATTACTTTCTAAGTGACGGTCTTTATGTAACTGAAGACCAGCTAGAGAACCAAAAACCTTTGCAATTGGATGTGATTATGGTGAAACCTTACAAACTCTGTAACAATCAAGAAGAAAATGATGCAGTGTCTTCTGCTAAGAAGCCAAAGCTAGCACTGGAAGGTGCAGAAAACACTGCCTCTACTAACTGTGACTCTTATTCAGAAGGACTGGAAAAGGACACAGTGACACAGAAGAAGGGCCAAACTTGCCTAGAGCAGTCACGTCCATGCTTTTCTGAAAGCCAAGAATGCCAGACAACAGTCAGCACTGGGGAAATTCTAGAAATTTTGAAGAAAGGGGATGCATTTGTTTTGGATATTGACTTGGATTTTTTTTCAGTCAAGAATCCCTTCAAAGAAATGTTCACTCAGGTAAACATGTGGCATTTTTAAAATGTAGATCTTGAGAATTGTATGACATTTCTCTAGATCAGGGCTCAGCAAATTTTCTGCAAACAGCCAGATATTAATTACTTTATTGGGGGTCCCATATGGTCTCTATCACACATTCTTCCTTGTTGTATTTAAACGTTTTTAAATTATACATACCTTTTTTAAATTGAAGTTTATATGTACCTTTCTTAACTTGAATGCCATACAAAAACAGGTTGTGAGCTGCGGGTTGCAAATCCCTGCTCTAGATAGTATTTATTTTGTATTTATTGAGGTAATACGTACATGGGTAGTTGAAAAAACTAAAATCATACACTGTAAGAAAATATATACATTAAAGAATGTCACTCTCTCACCCCATCCTCATTTCCTCAGTTTCTTACCTCAGAAAGAAACATCACCAGTTTCTTGGTGTATCTTTCCGGAGATATTCTATACATGTAAAGAAAGCCCTGTGTGACAGATTTTTCACTGAAAAATCTGAATCAGGTGCCTGATCACACATGTACTATTTGCAGCTAATGATTCAGGCCTCTAATCCGTAGGGTACCTCATCAGGTCTTAAATGCAAATCACCAGACAATATTAGTATGCACAGATCTGAGATAGAACTAGGCATTTAAGAAACTGGTAAATTCATGATCCAAATGAGCATTCCTAGGTGCATTTTATGGGCACAACTGCTTACTTCAACATTTGGGAGGTTATTCAGACCTATTTCAGTGATTCAGATCAACTGTATTTTTTCTACCCAAATTCAGTGTTTGATTCTAACAACGATGCTGCACCTTACAATCATAATATGTACGTATAAGAAGCCATGGTGGTTTATCTAAGTTATTGAAGACCTCTAAGTAGGTAATGATTAAAAATAGGTAAGATTTGAGGACTTAGTGTAATCTGGAACAAGAATGGGGGACCTAGAGTATTTTCCCAACTTGTAAATAAGGGAGAAAAATTGCTATTTCTTTCTGCTGTTGTATGTGGAGCCAGTGACTATAACCACAAGTTCTTAGAATTATGAAATGACCTTAGAGCTATTTAGAAAACTTGAAGAATAGGCGCATCTGAAAGCTGAAGAAACTGACTTTAGGAATTTATTTTACAAATATACTCATCAAATATTTTTAATGAAAATTTCTAAAAAGTTACATAAGGAACTTAATGGCAGGTATTCCTTTTCCAGTACTATCAGGAAACCTGGGTAGTGGAGTTTTTTGTATCCTTTATACCATTTGGTACTATGGAACTTTTGGAAAAGAGCATGTAGTATACTTTATAATTTAATAGACTTTTTTTTAATGTAGTTAAAGTCACTTGTTTACCTTTTTTAAAGAGCATGTGCAGAAGTCCAGAGTGAGTTAAGTTCTGTTTGTTGCTTCTGCTTATCACTTCTTGGGAAAGTTACTTAACCTTTCTGACCCACAGTTCAAGTATAAAATAAAAATAATCACACCCAAGTCACAGGATTATTACAGTGAGGGAGTGGCACAACACTGTGCTTTGTGAACTTCAGCTCTTGCATATAATTTCTTCGCAACAATACTCCTAAATGGGATTTTGGGGCCAGATATACCCATGTATAATGGGGCTATTTAGTGTGCTGAATGAAGAGAGACACTCTCCTGCAAAGTCAGTGCTTAGAAAGTATCCTTCTTCCATTGTAACTGCCTCCCCTATCACCTTTGAACTTCAGGGTTCTCTTTTGCAGCTAGGGAAAGGGCTGCAAAGTGAACATGGAGCGTTCTTTTGTTATTCAGGACATGTATATTTCCTGTAAAGAGCGAAAATCTGTTTAGATCCTAAGATGTACCAATTTATAGAGTAGAATATTATTAAAAATCTTCTTTCATATCAAGTCTTTTCCATAGCTATTTCATACATTCTTGTCAGTATAGAAATGACAGTGTTTATAATGATATCTGAACTATACATTTGCTGGATTTTCACAGACTGATTTTTAAATAATTATCTATCTTCCTAATATCACAGCCATTTTTACTTAAAGAATATCATCAAAAAAATTGGGTTTTTTCCCCTACTATATGGGTTTTTGTTTTGTTTTCCAGGAAGAATACAAAATCTTACAAGAGTTGTACCAATTTAAAAAGCCTGATACCAACCTGACAGAGGTATCCTTCATTTGTTTCTTTTGCGTTTTGTCTGTTACATATCTAATAATATCTTATAGCCCATTAGAGTGCTCTCGGACATCTCACCAGAAACTTTGTGTGTTTATTGGGTAAACCCATGGTTAGTACTTACAAGTCATGGTTTAACTAATTGAACTGATATTTTCATTGTAATGGAATTTCACTTTTTCAAAGAAAAATTATAATCTTGGCTTTTCAATGTGCTTAAAGGAAGATTTGGTAGATTGTGTTGATACTCGAATTCATCAGTTAGAAGATTTAGAAGCTGCTTTTGCTGATTTGTGTGATGGTGATGATGAAGAAACTGTACAGAAATGGGCTTCAAACCCTGGGTAAGACCTTGAAACATTTTTTCCCCAACTTTATTTCAGTCCTAGATATATTGTTAAGTTTGCTAGATAAATTACTTTTTAAAAATTAGTATTAAGTGCCAACACAAGGATGCTGGCTGGCTCAGTTTGTAGAGCATGTGATGCTTGATCTCAGGGTTGTGAGTTGGAGCCCCACATTGGGTGTAGTGCTTACTTAAAAATAGTATCTTAAAAAAAAAAAAATGCCAACACAAATTTACTAGCAATAGTTAGCCTTTACTAGGTGCTATCTATATGCCCAGTTGTAAGATTTTTTTTCTTGCATTTACCTCATTTATTCCTTCTAACAATCTTAAGACTTTGTGTTCATTTTATAGGTGAGGAAGCTAAGACACAGAGGTTTAAGTTGCTCTGAGTCCCATAGTAAGTGGGTATGCTTTTTTTTTTTTTTTTTTCCCCCAACGTTTTATTTATTTTTGGGACAGAGAGAGACAGAGCATGAACGGGGGAGGGGCAGAGAGAGAGGGAGACACAGAATCGGAAACAGGCTCCAGGCTCTGAGCCATCAGCCCAGAGCCCTACGCGGCGCTCGAACTCCCGGACCGCGAGATCGTGACCTGGCTGAAGTCGGACGCCTAACCGACTGCGCCACCCAGGCGCCCCTAAGTGGATATGCTTTTAATCATTGTGCAGTAGCTGCCCCTATAAGATGTGGTGCTGGGTCTTACAGAAGATTAATGATTTGTAAGACAGCCCCCATTCAAAGGAGAGTAAGAAAAAAAAAATTATCAATAAAAAAGTAAATTACAGGGGCGCCTGGGTGGCGCAGTCGGTTAAGCTTCCGACTTCAGCCAGGTCACGATCTCGCGGTCCGTGAGTTCGAGCCCCGCGTCAGGCTCTGGGCTGATGGCTCAGAGCCTGGAGCCTGCTTCCGATTCTGTGACTCCCTCTCTCTCTGCCCCTCCCCCCGTTCATGCTCTGTCTCTCTCTGTCCCAAAAATAAATAAACGTTGAAAAAAAAAATTTAAAAAAAAAAGTAAATTACTAGATTGGTAAATTAAAATGTGAAAATTTGCTTCCTTTTAAGGATAACCCAATATGAGTAGAAGGTCAAAACTGCCCATCATATGAGGAAGCAGGATTTGAAAGCTGGATTCTTCATCAGGTCATCTATTTGGCCAATTGTCTCAGCATTAACATTACCTTGAAAACATGAAGAGAAAGTTCTTTTCGTGTGATCGTTTGTCGATTTATAGGGTGGGGTGAAGAGTGCCTTTAGTGTTAAAAAGCAAGTTTGAAAGAATGTTGACATAAATAGTGTACTTTTCTTGGAACTAATTCTGTTTTTTCTAGTGAAGTGTAGTTGACGTACAATATTATATTAGTCTCAGGTATACAACATAATGAATCGACAATTTGATATATTCTACAGTGCTCACCACAATAAATGTGGTTACCACCTGTTACTATACAATATTATTATACCATTGACTATATTCCCTATGCTTTAGTTTTTATTCCTGTGACTTATTTTTATAACTGGAAATTTGGACCTCTTAATCCCCTTCACCTGTTTCACCTGTCTCCCCACCCCCTCTGGCAGCCACTGGTTCTCTGTATTTATGAGTCTGTTTCTGTTTTTGTTTGTTCATTTGTCCTGCTTTAGATTGCACAAGTGAAATCATGTGGTACTTATCAAACTTACTTCACTGAGCATGATACTCTAGGTTCATCCATGTTGTCATAAATATTAAGATTTCATTCTTTTTTTATGTCTGGGTAATATTCCATTGTATACATAGACATGTGTATGTGCATATATCTGTCTTACATTTTCTTTATTCATTTGTCTATCGATGGACACTTGGGTTGCTTTCGTATCTTGACTATAACAAATAATACTGCAGTAACAATAGGAGTGGATATATCTTTTCAAATTAGTGTTTCTGTTTTCTTTGAATAAATACCAAGTAGTGGAATTCCTAGATCATATGGTATTTCTATTTTTAATTTTTTGAGGAACCTCCATACTGTTTTCCATAGTGGCTGTACCAGTTTACATTTTTACAGACAGTGCACAAAAGCTTCCTTTTCTCCACATCCTCACCAACACTTGTTCTTTTCTTGTTCTTTGATACTAGCCATTCTGACTTATGTGAGGTAATTTCTTACTGTGGTGTTGGTTTGCATTTCCTTATTGATTAGTGATGTTGAGTCTTTGAAATAATTCTTTAAATCATATAGACTCAACAAAAAGCCTGAAAACTAAAATGTAACCATCAGACATCAACTTTTTTGTCCCCATGAGCATAGGAAGACCAGAACTAGCTTATTTTCAAATTGACCTCTCACAGATTATTCTCCACAGTGTAAATGTAAGAAATCAGTCATAAGATACCAACATAAATTAGAAAGTTAGAATCATAGTATTTTGGGCCACTAAGGCTTATTATGTCGTTGTTATTGGTAATAATTCATCAGATTTCTAGAAGAATACATAGGAAACTGGAATAGAGGTTGCCTCTGAAGAGAGGAATTGTATGGCTAATAGATGAAGTTATGAGGGAGAAACATCTTTTGCTATGTGTATGTATTACTTATTCAAAATATTCAGTGTAATTTTTTTTTCAAATATTAAGAAACCTCCCTGAAATATGAACATTATAAAACTTTATTATCTCTAAAAAAAGAGTAGTATGGAATAAAAACCATAATTGTATTCATCACATCAATAAATATTGACCAGGCACTTTAACATCAGTTAATGCTCTTCTTCTTCAGTATAGGGAACTCATTCAAAAAATGATTCCCTCCTTCTTGAAATTATGATGGAAGAGGGAGATCTAGAAATATCTCACAGAACATGATTCTTCCTAGAAATATTGAAAAGTACCTACTATTTTGTGAATTTGTGATGTCTCAAGCCGAGTTTAAAACTTAAAATAGCATGAAAACCTTGGAGTCCTGGATCTAGCCTATAGATGGGGCCACTTTCACTGAAACCCACTGTGCCTGGTAAGCATGCCCAGTTAACTCTTCAGCACCTGCAGAGTTCTGTCACAGAGTTGAAGAAACAATGAGGCTACAACAGAAATGAGTCCAGACCATGATTGGAATGGAGGGAAAATAGAATAGCACAAAGGAAAAGTGGGTGAGACAGCAAGAAGAATCTCCCCAAACTTACCATGCCCCTGAAGAGCCAGACCCTCAGCATGAAGGAGTCTTCACTGTTCCTTAAGAAGTACATAAAGTAGATGGAAACCAATTTGACAATAAATTTCATATTAAAAAAATAATAATAAATGGGCAGGGGTTCCTACCCTCAGAAAGAAAAAAAAAATAAATAAATAAAGTAGGTGATTAGGGTCTAGAAGACCAGAAAGTGTTTTCATAAAAGAGTAACAGAATGAGTGGATAGATAGGTCTCCATGACCCCCTCTTTCTTTTTTCCCTCCTAGCAGTTGCATAGATATTGATGGGGAAGGCAAAATACTAGAAACATCAGTCAGGACTCCCAAAGAGTTCTATTTAAATTTAATAATGGGCACCTGGTTGGCTCAGTTGGTTAAAAGTCCGACTTCTGCTCAGGTCATGATCTCGTGGTTCACGAGTTCAAGCCCCATGTCAAGCTTTGTGCCGACAGCTCAGAGCCTGGAGCCTGCTTCAGATTCTATCTCCATCTCTCTCTGCCTCTCCCCCGCTTACTTGCGTGCACTCTCTCTCAAAAATAAAAAGCATCAAAAATAAATAATAAATAAAATTTAAATGACTTAAAGGCACTAGTGTTAGTATACTAAATGGTATAGAACTTTCCCAGGTGTAATTGTGTATGTCAATAAATATATTCTTAATTTTTTTTGAACTTTTGGGTAACTTTTTCAACACCATGTGCTCAAGGCACTTAGTTTTCTTATTGATCAAAATAATTTTAAATCACAGTAGATCTTCTATTTTTAAAAAAGAGGAAAATCTCAGTTTCTTGAGTGTTAATTTTCAACGTTTAACACAATGTATACTTTTTTAGGTAAGAAAAAACAACATTTATTTCTTAATATTTTAAGATTATATTTGAATATCTTTATCTTTCATTTCTCAATCATGTGAAATGTATTGTTAAAGATATACTTTAAATGTTATGTATCTATCATTTGCTTCTGTAATTTTAGTTGAGGTGGTGTGATGTTTAATTGAGGGGTGGCTTTTTTCCAGAATGGAATCACTAATTCCACTTGTACAGAGTTTGAAAAAACGGATGGAAGTACCAGACTATGAAATGGTAAATATATTGCAGTATAAAATTGACCCTTTAGAAAGACATTTTTCTGGGTAGAAAAAGTACTTTTTATTTAAGTGGTTTGCTTTTATTTGTGTACCAGGGAAGTGTAAATGAATTCTTTTTAAAAAAGGAGAAGAAATGAAAAAATACACACTTCTTAGAAGTCAGAACATTGGAAAAGTTTTCAAAAAAAATAAGCTTTCTAAAGATGTCCCTTCTTTATTGATTCATTTTTATACTCCCTTCCTCCTTCTTTCTTTCCTCCCTCTAAAAACTTTCCTGATTATAAAAACCAAGCAGAAAGATAAAAGAAGGTGTTCTGACAAGTACATCTCAGCCGTATCAGCTGTATTGCTGACTTTGCCAACAGTGACCTGAAAGCTATGGCAAAAGTGAATACTTCTAATGATAATTTCTTTTATTTTTGTATCATTTTTCAGTATTTGAGGCATAAAATTTCCTATTTGAAGTTCAAGTGCCATTTCTCAGATTTTGTGCTAAAACTAAGACCTATAAGTCTTCTTCTTTTACTCCTGCTGCTGCTTTTACTTCCAATAAATTGTTTTGTTCTAGTGTTTTATTTAGTTATGGAATACAATTAAACCACCTTACTTGAACTGAAGTTTATGTATTGATTTAATGCCAACTTTATAAGAATAAAAAATATTAGCAAAAGAATATTTTGCTTACATTGGAGCTAGTCCAAACGCCTTAGTCCACCCCTTTTTTCATGGCAGTTATTAAGAGTGATAGAGTTAGAAGATCCTTAGGATTTAAAAATGTTTTGAGTTCACATGACATTATTGAATGTGTCTTCATGCAGGTCTGCTATAATCATTATATTACATCTGGATTTTCCACTGGTTGGGAGTGGTTTGTACATTGTTTGTTGAAAGACAGAAGGGATGGCATGGGCTTGGTTGCAGATAATGTAATCAAATATGATGTGCCTATAGCTGCAGGGTTGGAACACTAAGTGTTTTGATCAGTTCAGTAGAAAAGAACATTCATATCATTTTACTACGAGGATTGTTCCTATTTAAATTTTTGATGTGTATTCAGAACCTCCAATAAAATATCAGATTAATGGTTTTTTTCCATGCTTTGCACTTATATACAGTAGGCAAAACAGTGACATACTTGAGTTCCAATTTTCAAAACTTCAAGCAAAGGCTATAAAATGTTAGCCTGTGAGCCACTTCTAGCTTTCAGGCACAGTTTAGTGCTATGAGACTGGAACATCAGTCATTTACATTTAAGACACATAAATGTATGTCAGTACTATTTGATTGTACATAAAGGATATATAAGGAACTGGTGACAGGAGGAAAACTCTCCCTTGTATCCTCTTAAAACTTTGAATATAGCAGTACATGCATGTATTTTAAAAATAAATGTTGAAAGAAAAGGTAAAACCAGAATATTATGTACAATTTTATATCAGCTTTTAGAATCTAGGTGTAATAGATAATTTGCTAGATAATATGAATTGTCAAAATAGACTCAAGTAAAGACAGAAACTGAATTAATCCATAATTATAAAATTAAAAAAATAGTTAAGGAGTTATTCCTACAAAAGGCATCAGGCCCAAACAAATGTACAGGCCAGTTCTTTCAAAACTTGAGAGAATAGGTAACTTCTGTGACACAGAAGCTGTTAAGGTAAAAACAATCCCAGTCCACAATATTATTAAAAAATGTATCAGCAAGTCCTCTAATGGTTAAAGAATTTTCTAAAAACAATAAAGCCTTATAGTGTAATTCTTAATTTTCTTATTTTCAGGTTCACCAGGCTGGTCTAACCTGTGATTATTCAGAACTTCCTCACCATATCAGCACAGAACAAGAAATTGAGTATCTTATTCAGTCTGTATATTATTTACTGAAAAATTTACCAAAACCTACTCTCGTGACAATTGCAAGGTAAGTGTGGTAGCCTGAATAGTGGTATGCCAAAGATGTTCACATCCTAATCTCCAGAACCTGCGGATATGTAACCTTCTATAGGAAAAGGGACCTTGCAGTTGCAATTAACTCAAGGATCTTGAAATGAGAATACCTTGGATTATCCAGTGGACCAGTGTGATCACAGTCGTCATTTTAAGAGGGTCAGAATTCGAGAAATTGGAAGATGCTAGGCTACTGGCTTAGAAGATGGAGGATAGGGCCTCAGGCTAAGGAATGCAGACAGCCTCCAGAAACTGGAAAGACTAACATTCTCCCCTAGAACCTAGAGAAGAATGCAGCCCTGCTAGCCCCTCTATTATAGGACTTCTCATCTCCAACAAGACTGTAAGGTAGTAATTTTGTGTTGCTTTAAGCTGCTAAATTTGTGGCAATTTGTTACAGCTGCCATAAGAAATTAATACAGTTTCCACAGGTTAATCTAATGATTACTCTTACTAACCAATTTTTTACCTACTCAGCTCAAAATTCAGATGTTGTATTTGCTCTTTCCTCTTAGTGATGGTTGGCAAAAAACATACAATTCTTATTATCTTGTCTTTGAAGTTGGTGATACTATTCAGATGAACACAGGAATTCCTATTTCTTTGTCCTACAAATGAATATTTAGCTGCTGCCATTTTTTAAATTTGAACATAATTGCTGAATAGTTACAACAATTTAATGAAACTTTTCTGTGTTCATCTTTGGGCTGGTTTTGTATGGAACTATGAGGTTAGTACTTTATATATTTTATGACAAATATTTTGTAACCTCCTTTTACCATCCTGAAATGAAATTCATAGGTGATCTAACCTACATAGTTCATTCAGGCTGCATTAACAAACATACCATAGACCAGGTGGCTTATAAACAAGAGAAATCCATTACTCACAGTCCTGGAGGCTGGGTGGTCTAAGATAAAGTTACTAACAGATTCAGTGTGGTAAAGACCTGCTTCCTGGTTCACAGCCATCTTCTCCCTGTAAACCTCATGAAGGAGGTCTCTGGGGTCTCTTATAACAGCACTAATCTCATTCCTGAGGGGTCCACCCTTGTGATCTAATCAAAATATGATGACATTGAGGATTGGATTCAATATACGAATTTGGCGGGGACACAAACATTTATTCTATAGCAATAATATACCTGTACACATAATTTAAACATATGTTTATATGTGTGTACACACAAGAAAATCCTAACATAAAAGAAATAAAAGTAATTGATAAAATAATATGTATTAAAATGCCACACAAGACTAGCATCTTTACAAGGAGTCTCTAAATGTAACAGTTACAAATGCAGACAGATAATCACGTGATGTATTGGCCAAATACCCTAACAGCACTGCCATAGTGACATGTTTTTTGTTTTTTGTTTTTAAGTTTATTTATTTGTTTTGAGAGAGGGAGAGAGAATCCCAAGCAGGCTCTGCACTGTGAGCACAGAGCCTGATGTGGAGCTCAGTCTCACGAACTGTGAGATCATGACCTGAGCTGAAATCAAGAGTCAGATGCTTAACTGACAGAGTCACCCAGGTGCCCCATGTGACATGTTTTTTCTGGTCATAACAATTTCCTGGTAAAGTTCTAAGCTTAGAGTCCAATCTTCCCTCAATATACAGAGTAGTTGCATTCTTGGGAAATTTAGTTTATATTTAATTCATTTTCAAAAATACTTTGTTCATATGTAAAAGAGTATTAAATTCTAGGCTCAAAAAATTAAAAACGGTTTTCACTTATGTGAGTGCTCCATGAACTTTGGAAAAAAGTATGTAGGACACAGGACAAGTATTCATATTCACATTCATAGTGCAGGACTGTCCTGCATGTTGCAAGCATTTTAGCAGCCCTGCCCTCTCACCTTGGCCCTTCGGTTGTCATTGTGACAATCAAAAATGCACCAACAGATTTCCAAAACTACATCTTGAGGGTAGTTTCCATCAAGAACTACTCTGTTTTAAAGAAGCCAGAAAGCTTTGACTGATTGAGGCTTATAAATTAAACTCTTATATATGATACTTTCTTGAAGTAGGTCTTTATCCATATGTATATATTAGGTAGTATTTAATAATTTTAATCGCTCTGTCTTATTTATTGTGTGTTAAATATTTACATCTAGTCTCAAAAATAACCTGATCACCAGAGAATAGAATGAGTTTATCAGAAGTCTCACAGATTATGTCTCACAGATTATTTAGGTCTAAAATACTTGTGACAAGGACTAGATAACTAATTCCATTTCCTTCTTTTCTTTTTAAGTTTTTGTGTTTTTTTAAATGTTTTTTATTTATTTTTGAGAGAGACAGAGCATGAGCGGGGAGGGGCAGAGAGAGAGGGAGACACAGGATCCCAAGCAGGCTCCAGGCTTTGAGTTGTCAGCACAGAGCTAAACGCGGAGCTCAAACTCATGAGCAGTGAGATCATGACCTGACCCAAAGTTGGACATTTAACCAATTGAGACACCCAGTCACCCCTTTTCAAGTTGTTTTTAATTTTTATTTATTTTAAGAAAGAGAGAGAGTTGGGGGGGGGGAGAGGGAGAGAGGGAAAGAGAGAATCTCAAGCAGGCTACACACTGTCAGCTCAGAGCCCAGTGCAGAGCTCAATCCCACAGCCGGGAGATCATGACCTGAGCTGAAATCAAGAGTTGGACACTTAACTGACTGAGCCGTCCAGACACCCCTCCATTTCCTTCCATAAAGATTTCTATGCCACTCTTTACAATCCATCCTCCTCAAATGGCTTTCCTCACCCGAGTCCAGAACCAGGAGATGCTGATCAAGTCATTTCAGAACTTAATCTGGCTATAATTGTCAGTGACACTGTAACTAGTTGGTAACTAAAGTTGTAGTTGGTGATTCTACAAAGAGTCACCAAGATACAGATTCCTGCTTTATCCTACTTTGCTCTTTTCTCCTTTATACCATCTAGGAAACTAATCCTAATACCAGCACATCTCCACATTTGATTCTGGATAATTCTGTATGCTTGTTAACAAATAGTTTGTAGAAGTAGAAACCTATTATCAGTTGGGAAGACTCTACCCTTGTAATTTCTAGCCCTAGTGTACCCATAATAAAAGGATAGGAAAGATGTTCACTCACTTAAGAACCCCCAGTATTTCCCATATCTCCCTCTAAGGGAAACAGCAGTCTAATGATAAAGCACTGAGGCTTTGAAGCGTGCTGTGTCATTTTGAATCCTGTCCCTAGCACTTACTAGCTATGTGACTTATGCAGGTTAATCTTTCTGTTTAGATTCCTTTAAAGGGATAGTAAAAGTACCTATTTCATAGAGTTACTGAGAAGATTAAAGAATATAATGTAATGTACCTGACATAGAGTAACTATTTAGTAGCTTCCAACTGTTCTTATTCCAAAATTCAGTACATCTTCGTTTCTATTTTATATTGAAATCAACACATGCAGACTTTTCCTCACTGCACAGTATGATCACATTTATGTGTATTTTTCTTTTTCTTTCCCTTCTTGGTTCCAGGTCAAGTCTGGACGATTACTGTCCTTCTGAGCAAGTCGACACCATTCAAGAAAAAGTCCTTAATGTGCTGAGCTCCCTGTATGGGGCTGTAGACATTCACCTGGTGTATTTAGCAGAGTGTTCTCCATCTTGAAACAACAAAACACTAGGTTCCTATAACATCTTGATGTAATAACAGGGTTTTCATTAACTTATTATAAATGAGTCTTCCAGAGAAGACTTTTGTTTTTATATTAACTTTGTTAAAATCTTTCAGATAGTTTGAATCTCAAACAGATCTTATCAGTTGTTGAATGATGACAGTTTTTTTTTTTTTTACATCAGTTCTACCCTCTCCCCCTCCAATTAATTGTTGCTTATTTTTCTTCCTTTCCATCATAGTCTTCCTCATTTTGTGCGGGTTGTTTTTTCCCCCTAGGTCAGTTGGACTGTACAAAATTCATTCATTTATTCACTCAACCAACTGACATTTATTGAGCATTTACATGTGCTAAACATAATTAAGTGCTGGGTATATGGTGATGAACAGGATAGACAAGGCCCCCTGCCCTCTTAGGGAATGGCTAAGAAACAAATTATGGATTACGAGAAGTATTATGAAGGAGCAACCACAAACATGTCTTAGGCATCCTCTTAGTACTCAAGGCATCCTGGCAGGATAAGAAAGTAACATTCTCAAAAGCTACCAAAAAAATAAATAAATAAACTTGATAGTCCATGAAAATGTTGCAGGAATCCTACCTTTCCAAGACTGTCAGGGTTGTGGTGCAGCTGTTGTGGCAAACTCACATTATTGTTGGTATGGAGAAGGTCTATTTGAGCAGTCAACAAAACAAAAATTTTCTTTGCTAATCAGAAAAGCCCTTCAGGGTTTTTGGTGCCTCCAGATGATCAGTATTGGCATCGATTATCGTTATAGTTCCTAAGTGCCACTTTATTGGCAGTCTGGGTTGATAATTTCTTCAAATAAACTAGCTTTTAATGTGAATAGTAGAAAAAAAGGTAAATCCTTAATTCTGACCTACGGTAAATACCCAAAGACATAACTGCCTTCCACCAGCCTCCCCGTGAGGAAGAGACCCTATCTGAGTCCCTCTAAATCATAGAACTTTCCATTTGCTTAATTTACCAGTCTTCCCGTCTTCAGCATTCCCCATGTTCAGCAATTATTTTTCACTACGTAATTTCTTTTTCTTTAAAAGGTAGGATGGCATTTAAAGGGGGAAAAAAAACATCTATACATTCCTCAGTCCTAACATAGCATTTGTTTTCATTTTACATGTTACTGTAAGGCCTTGACCACATGTGTACCTGTGCAGCTGCATGTAACTGCAATTGTATGTTACTTAACTTGATGGCTAATACCCAAGATCACATTACCATTGCCACTCAATAGATGGCACCAGATCCCATTTTTCCAATGATGCTATTTTCCTGCGAATTTTTCTCGTCACCAATTTCCCAAGGCTGATAGCGTGAATGCCTATTTCTGTTGTGAAAAGCAAAGCAAAGTGATTCAGCTTTCTATTTTGATAGAACATTATGTGCCAAAAAGTTTTCTCTGTAAAATCAGAATTGCAAAAAGAGTGCTATTTATTTTTAAGTTTTGAAAAAATTTTATTAGAATTCTATAAACGGATGTTACTTTTATGAGTAAATTATTTTGTGTGCTAAAATAAATAAAAAGGTATGTTTTGAGATTTTAAAGATTTAAAACAAAAAACAAAAATTAAAAAAATAAAGATTTAAAATCAAACCATAGCACTAGTTAATTGTGTATGATCTCAATGTGTTCATAGCACTGATCTTATGAGTCTGTTTCAGTAGTCATTTATTATAATTCCCATGAACTAGGATGTGACTCAAGCATCGTTTTAATTCAGGTGGAATAAAAGGGCACCAATTTCTATTTTAGGAACATTCAGATCATTTAGTTCTCATGCTCTGTAATTCTGTTTGAATGAAATTCAGTCCCTGTCTATTGACTACCACCAATTTGGTAAATTATATCACCGGGCATTTCAAATAAGGTGTTTAGTTTAGGGGCACCTTGGTGTCTCGTTTGAGCATCTAACTCTTGATTTTGGCTCAGATCATGATCCCAGGGTCGTGGCATCAAGCCCTAGGTCATTCTCAGTGCTGAGTGTGGAGTCTATTTAAGATTCTGTCTGTCTGCCTCTCTCCCCTGCTCACATGTCTCTGTCTCTCTAAAATAAAAAAAATTTTTTAAAGATTTAAAAAAAAAACAGTTTATAAAGACATCCTTCATCTGTGTTCTAAATATCAATGAGGATGGGCGCCTGGGTGGCGCAGTCGGTTAAGCGTCCAACTTCAGCCAGGTCACGATCTCACGGTCCGTGAGTTCGAGCCCCGCGTCGGGCTCTAGGCTGATGGCTCGGAGCCTGGAGCCTGTTTCCGATTCTGTGTCTCCCTCTCTCTCTGCCCCTCCCCCGTTCATGCTCTGTCTCTCTCTCTCCCAAAAATAAATAAATGTTGAAAAAAAATTTTTTTAAATATCAATGAGGAATACCACAATACAGGGTTTTGGATTATATACACATATCACTGATGAAAGGGCGGGCCTACGCCGGCCGACTCCATCTTTTTCTGTGTCCTTCACCTTGACCACACCTCCTTCCCTTGAGTAAACCCCCCTCACCTGCCTAACAGGACTTGGACCCTTCCCCAGGACCCTTCCCCAGCCAATCGGCTGAGGCCATAGCCATTATCTCACCAACTGCCCCTAGGCCCCAATAAAACCTTTGTCCTTTTGAAACACTCTCTCTTTCCCTGGTATCTCACCACTGCCTCGGTGCAGGTAGGGGATTGAGCTCGAGCTAGCTCGAATAAAGACTCTTTGCTTTTGCATCGGACTCGGCTCCCTAGTGGTCTTTGGGGATCACGAATTCTGGGCATAACAACTGACACATGAGATTTTGGCAAGTTCTTGAAAATGGACTTAAATGTAAGCATTGACTATAGCTTTGGTATTAACAAGTATATATTTCTCAGTATTGAGGAAGAAAAGTTTTTCTTTAGAAATATTTTCCGTATGGCCAACAGGCACATGAAAAGATGCTCAACATCACTCTTCATCAGGGAAATACAAATCAAAACCACACTGAGAAAATCGCCTCACGCCAGTCAGAGTGGCTAAAATGAACAAATCAGGAGACTATAGATGCTGGCGAGGATGTGGAGAAACGGGAACCCTCTTGCACTGTTGGTGGGAATGTAAACTGGTGCAGCTGCTCTGGAAAACAGTGTGGAGGTTCCTTAAAAAATTAAAAACAGATCTACCCTATGACCCAGAAATAGCACTACTAGGAATTTACCCAAGGGATACAGGAGTGAGATGCATAAGGGCACTTGTACCCCAATGTTTATAGCAGCACTTTCAACAACAGCCAAACTATGGAAAGAGCCTAAATGTCCATCAACTGATGATAAAGAAATTGTGGTTTATATACACAATGGAATACTATTTGGTAATGAGAAAGAATGAAATATGGCCTTTTGTAGCAACATGGATGGAACTGGAGCGTGTTCTGCTAAGTGAAATAAGTCATAGAAAGACAGATACCATATGTTTTCACTCTTATGTGGATCCTGAGAAACTTAACAGAAGACCATGGGGGAGGGGAAGGAGAAAAAAAAAAAGGGAGAGAGCCAAACCATAAGAGACTCTTAAAAACTGAGAACAAACTGAAGGCTAATGGGGGGTGGGAGGGAGGGGAGGATGGGTGATGGGT